CCTCTCATTTTATCATGAGGAAACTGGAACCCAGACAGGGGAAGGGAATTGCCACAAATCATAATCAAACCTGAAGCCAAATACTATCAATTCTTTCTTCACTAGATTTCTTATCTATATCTATGTACTGATTCAGTAACTATTTATTAAACATCTGCTGACTTATAGGCCTCATTTTAGATGGTGGTGAAAGCAGACAGAAATTAATGCTCCAATGTTGCTTACATTCTTGGGAGAGAAGACAGACACTATGAATAGATGAGTATGTATAGAGTATGCCAGGTAGTCATAAATGCTATGGGAAAAACAAAGCAGGATATTGGAGTGCCTTGAGTTAGGACCTCATTGAGGAGAAAATATTTTGGCAGAAACCTGAAGGAGTTGAGGGAATTAGCATCTGGATATCTGGGGGAGGAGGATTCCAGGAAAAGAGAACGGTGAGTGGAAAAGGATCTGGTGTAGGTGGGTGATGTCTGAGAACTCACTGGCAGCCAGTGTGGCTGGAATGAGACTAAGAAAGGAGATATTGAGGCTGGAGAGGTAACATGATGGAGATGTGGTTGGGAAATTGTGTTAGTACTTTGGCTTTCATGCTGTGTGAGATGGGTGGCTACCAGATGGTTTTGGATAGATAAGCAACATATTCTCACCTTTTAAAAGGATCTCTTTGGCTGCTATTTTGAGACTATATTGTAGGAGAAAGAAGAGACGGACATAAGCATGTAGGAGCCAGGGCTGCTTAAGAGCTACTGCAATAATTCAGGCAGAGACAGCCTTGGTTTGGACCAGGGTGGTAGTGGTGGAGGTGATGCAAAGTGACCAAAATTTAATATATTTTGAGGTAAAACAGGATTTGGGGTATAAGAGAAAAAGAAGAATCAAGGATGACACCAATACTTTTGCTGTGAGTAATTGGAAGTATAGACGTGCCATTTACTGACACGAGAAAGGCTGTGGGAAGAGCAGGTGTCAGGGAGAATATCAGGAGCTAGTTTGGATATTGGAGTTAGTTTGGATATTGGGGTTAGTTTGATTGTTACTATACATCTAGATGAAGATGGTAAGTAGGCAGATGTGTGCTTTTGGAGTTCAACAGATAGGTCCATCTGGGAGAAGAACTCTGGGAATTGTCAACATATATATGGTATTTAAAGTTAGGAAGTCACCAAGAGACAAGCATAATAGAGAAGTTCAAGAACTGAGTCCCAAAATATCTAACATTTAGAGACTGCTGAGACGAGGAACATTTGTCAAAAGAGATGAAGAAGGAGAAAACTGTAATATAGGAGAGGACCAGGAGATTGTGGTCCTTGACTTTCAAGGTCCTTGAAAGTCAAGGGAAAATAGTATTCCAAAAAGGATAGAATGAGAAACTGACTCACATGGTATAGAGAGGTCAAATAGTTGACCATTGGATTTAGAAATCAAAGAGAGTGATCTTAAGAAAAGATCCACTGGAGTGTTGGAAGTAAAAGCCCAATTGGAATGGGTTCAAGAGAAAATAAGAAGATAAATTGGAGACAATGGTTATAGACAACTCTTTTGAGTTTTGCATAAAGAGGAACAGAGATAGGATGGCAGCTGAAGGGGTATGTAAAATGTGGGGAGGGGGTTTTAAATTTTTTTTATCTGACAGATAACTCGGGATGCCTCTTCCTGGTTCAGAGTGTAACACCTCTTGTTGCTTTACTGTGGTAGCCTCTTTCTGCCTCAAAGGATTAGGCATTTATGACCAAATAAATTTTCTTAAAATGCCCTTCTAAATCATGAAAGCTTTCCCCATCCCTATCTTTTGCAAACAAATCTTTTAATGACAATTCAATAATAATCTACCAAATAGTATTAAATTCCTTAGCTTGGAAGTCAAGGTGAAAAAAAAAATCTGATGTCTACTTTGCCCCAGCAAACCCGGTCTCTTCTCTATATACCATTTCCTACCTTTGGGGCTGTTGTCACCCCTTTGTGTAAACCCTAACCTTTACCCTCCCTGTCTCTGCTTATAATAACAGAAGTGGGGCTTCAGGGCCCTACTCATAGGGCGCATGTTATATGATCCTCTCATTGGTGATCTGAGCTAGAAAAATACTTTTGTCATCTCCACTGCTATAGTATTTATCATGAAAGGCATTTTCTGCTTAGATATTGCTTTATATGCTAGATATTTTTGTGTCTTTCATGGTGTCTATCCCAAAGCACATGAATACGTTACATGAAAATATGTTGAATAAATAAATGACCACATCTCAAGTCTGCTAACTCCAAGTCTACTGCTTTCTCCTTTTACCATTCTGCTGCAGCCTTTGGTATGATCCAGTGTTGCATGAAATATGAGTGCTGCCTACATCCCTAGCACTATGTCTGCAATAGCATAGCTAAACTTGCTATGTTTAACTATGCTAAGTTAAACTTCCTACATGGAATTAGGACATTTTCAAATTTTGAGGCAGCTCAGAGCCTCCTGCTCAATAATCAGGAAGCTTCACTAGAAGGTCTTTTATGATGATACAAACCAACATTTTGTCATAAACTGAAAGGAAAGATGAGATCTGAGAATTCAAGTGCTCCTTTAAATCTTTGTTGCCACTGAAGACAAAAGCTTAATGAAACATCTGCCCTATTAAAGAGCTAGTTTTTTGGTGTTTTATAGTTGTAAAATTTAATCATAATTCAGTTTGCAAAAATCAAACCTTGTGCCAATCTCATTAACATTGAGCCAAGTTTCATAGTCATTAACATGCTCTCTCAGGAGGAAAAGATAGTTGTCTGCAGTTAGTTTTTGTTTAGCTCTTATGAAGGGCTTAAAAATCTCATTACTCTTTCTTAATAACCTGGCAAAATAAGTAGAAATCATTAACCCTGGTAAAATAATAGAGAGTTGGGGCAAAAATTCCTTGCTTAAATGTGCTGTCAGCTGGGCATGGCATTGTTGTAACCTTGAGGATTGAATTATACCTTTATGTTGTCCTATAGAAAATAATTGAATAATGCCAAATATAGACAGATGTGAGGAACTTTACATTCACACTACTCAGTTTTCCTTGAGACAATAAAGAAATATTTTATGTTGAGAAGGATGAATTTTGCTACGGCATTTTATGTTCTGTTTAGTAGATTAAAAACAACCTTTTTTATTTTTTTACTTGTATTTTTCCTGTCTTGCAAATTATAAGCCCATTGTGGAGAGGGAAATATCTTTGGTTTCACTAGAATGTTTCCGTAGTGTTTGGCTTCTAGTGGGACTTCACAAATGTTGACTAAAGGACTAAATTAGTTGTAAACAACACTGAACTCAGACCAGCCAAAAGGACTAAATTATTTTTCACATATATTTTGTCAGTGAGTATTCAAAGAGAAGAATGATTCCAGGTATGAAAATGAGAAATGTGTGAAAATCAGCATTTTACATGTATAACAAAAGTGACTTTTACCAAGGCACTCTGCCAATCTTCCTTCAAAATAATTAGCATGCAAATTGGAATTCATATTTCATGCCAAAAAATGGTTGTTGTATAGATGATTATTGGTGTGTAGGTGGTGTTTACATGGATGTGCAGATGTGTTCAGAAACTCTTGATCTATGTGGCACTCTGAACAACCCAGCCTGTGTTCACAGATGAATTACATTTCATTCCCCCATTATCCTGTGCCACAATGGCAGCTCACATATTTAAACAGGTGTACCAATTTATTCAGAGATAATTACATATGAGAAAACAGCTTAATGAATTACTTTACATTTGAAATAAGTAACTTTAATGAACTAGCTAAACAAAAGATAACTTTCCCTTTATCAGGGGGTAGGAGGGAAAGACTTCATTCTTCATTGCCTTACCAATTTTGACCTTCTGTCCAGTAATCTCAACTCTGGATGATTCCAAAACAGTGAAAAAAAATATAATTTCATTCTAGATTTAGCAGATCTAGAATCCATTTGCCAGGTAGGATGACATGGAAATATCTCTTGGCTGAAGGAAAAGAAGTAATGCCAAGATCTAGGACCTGGATATTTACCCAGACATTTGCATAATGTCAGTGACAAAGAAGTATGGATCCAATTTGAAATGCTCCTTTCCTAGCCAGAAAGCTCCTTAATTAAGAGATACCAGCAGGGTGCATGGCTATAGGCTTCCTATGGGATATGGCATTTTAATTTTTTTGCCTTGTCACCTGAGGATCTTTTCAGATTCAGACCTGGCAATACTTTCCTAGCTCTGTTTCTTTCCTGTTACCCTCTTTTTTTTTCTCCTGTAACACCTGCTAACAATGTAAGAAAGTTGTCAGAATTTCAAGTGCCTAGAAAGTTACATCTTTTCAATCAATGAATAAGATTATATAAAATTAAACATTTTAAATCTTTTTCTCCTGAGTCTTAGGTTTCCTTCTCATTACCTTCATCTTCAGCCCTTAAAATTTCCATTTTTAAGCTGTGACCACTTCATAGAGAATGTCTTCTCCGGTACACAAACTTTTTTTCCAACACTAGATTTCCTTTCTTCTACTTGTCCTTCTGATGGCCACTTTTTTTTTTTCTGTTTCTGTCTCTAATCTCGCATCTAAAATCTTAGAGCATATATTTCCTGTAGGTTCAATAGGTCTGAGTTTCAACCCAGACTATGACACTTATTGGTTTGTAACTTGGACAGTTCCTTGTTCTCTCTGAACCTCATTTTAATAGGATCTACTTGAGATTGTCATCAGAACAGAAATAGAAACTCAGCATGTGTGGTCTGTTTGCTGCCTAGGGGTATGCTGAAATAATTCAAAGCTAAAGACATCTATGCCTAATAATCAGAGAAACTTGTGAGAGACTGCCAACCCATTTCCCTTAGAAAACTTGTATTCAAGAAAAAACAAGAGTCCTGGTCCAGTGTGTTCAACCAGTTCAACTTGATTTCCAATTGTTTAACAATTAGACCACAAGCATAAACTCACCTCTCTCCTGAATGACCAGCTTCAGTCGTCCAAAAAACCTTACCTGACTGTCTGCTACCTTTCTCCAGTTTGAACTTCAGTGGATGCTGATCCATTGTGACCCCCAGCGGCCTAGGAGAGAAACTTGCCATGAGCTGCCAGCCAGAATAACGGTGAGTCCCCTGACTACCTGCAAAGGCCACTTCTACCCAGCTCAACCCTCCCCAGCTTGCCAACTCTCCCACCTTGCCACCTCCCCAGCACCTCTCCTCCCCATTCTCTTTCCCTAAGAGAGCCTGTGCTTTGCTGTACTGACTAAAGAAATATGAAGGAAGAACAAGTCATACTTTCAACCTGGCATGTAGAAATCACCTGCAGCCTGGCAGGTAGAAGCCACCTGCAGGTGTCTCGTTCTCCCTTTGGTGGCTTCTGGGCCCTCCTCCCTTAGTCTCAAACATATCTAAGAACACTTGAGATCTACTGGCCAACACTGGCACAGGCCACCTGGGAAGGCTCTGGGGACAGCCAGAGGCTGCACTGGGGTAGGTGGGGTGGAGGCACAGCAGCATGGTCAGACCTTGCCTGTGCAGCTGCAGGGAAAGGGTTAAGGGAGACTGTTGTCATTCTATCCGTCCTCCCCTGTCTGCTAGCTCTCCTCCAATCCCAGGACCCTCTCCAGGGCCATTCATAAACAGGAGGAACGTGCGCCTCCCAGGCCGGGACACCTTGGCAATCCCTACTCCCTGGGGTGCTTTTTCTGCAAGGACGAAGTGCCACCTATGCGAGTGGCGGGTCTGGAAGCCGCCTAGAGAGGCGACCGGCTGCCGAGCCAGGCCAGGGGATTAGCGGTGGGCGGCGGGCATGGCCTGGACGGCGCGGGACCGCGGGGCCCTGGGGCTGCTCCTATCGGGGCTCTGCTTGTGCGCGGCTCAAGTAAGTTGCGAGTGAGTTTGAAGGGTGCTTTTCTCACTTTCTCCCCGTCTTTTCTTCTCCAGCCCAGCCAGACCACTGACGAGGTAAGCTGGGGGCAGGAAGTGTTTGCATTTTTGAGGCACACACGAGGACAGGTGGGGGCCTAGCGGTAGGTAGGGGAACTGTGAGGAAGGCATGGAGCATCTCCAGGGCTCTCGGACCCGCGCTCCCTCCGGCCTCCAGCACCTGCCGCGACTCCTGTCGAAGTCCAGAGCCCTAGATGCCCCCTTGGTCTCGGAAGCGCTGCTCCTCCCTCACCCGAATTCTCCCCACTGCCCGCTCTGGCGCTGAAGGTAATAGGTGACTCCAGACCTACGTTTAATTCTTAGCCTGTTATTGCTTCTTATTTCCCCACCTCACCCCCTCCCCCGTCCCCACTCCTGGTCACTGTCAAGAGCAGGCCTTGCTGGAAAAGGCGGGAATCCAGGCAAGCTCCCTCTCCCTCTCCTCCAGCCCGCGGTGGCTGCCCTAAACCCCGAGTACAGCTTTCGGTGCTGGCGGCTCCGGGATGGACCGGGCGGCCTGGCTCGCATCAACATTTCAGCAGTTTCCCAAAGGCTCCAGCGCCTCCTCCCTCCCGCGCTGGAGAGGACCTGGCGGGGGCGCTTAAGCGCAGCTGAGGTTTGAGGTTTCACTTACAAAGACCCCATTGTAACCTCTTTGGTCGTTGGATTTTAGAAAAACAAAGTTTTCCTTGATGAAAGATCCTTTCTTCTTTTTCTTTTTTTAATTCGGAAGGGGGAAAAAACCCCCACATTCCCTAAGCAACTCGTTCATACTATTTCAGACGCCAGGATTCCCTCTAGCCCTATCAAAATGTAGCTGTCTGCCAGCGATAAAAGGGGTCACACCCCAGGGTCAGTCTGAAATTTGGCGTAATTTTGAAGCGAGATGCAAAGACCTAATTCAAGGGACTGAGGGAGTGTCACTGCAGGTAAACCTGAAATGAGGCCAGGCACGGCTCTCACGGCTGCCCTGCCCTCCTCCTCCCAAATCTTTCCCTCAAGAATAGCCCCCACCTCCCCATTCCACCGGACAAAGATCCTGGTGTGGGGTCTCTGTTCTTGGCTGTTCCATTCTGGTCAAAACACTGACATCCAATGACTGATAAATCGAGGTATCGAATGACCACCATTTTCATTTTTGAGTCCTTTTGAGGATAAAAAGGCGTTAGCCCTTCTGTTTTCCACAGCTCCTCTTCGGTTTAATGCACTCTGCAGAGGTGAGATCCAGTGCGACCCCCACTACCTTGGGGACCTCTAGACTGCTCTAACCCGCAGTTTAGCTCAGTAGAATATGGCGGAGACCAAAGCTGCGCTTGCTTAGAGGTCTGAGACATTTTTGTGTTGGGTTTCAAAAACCCGGCCTCCTCTAGAAGGTATCTTTTACCCGACAGAGGCGGGGGCTTCAGGAAACCGCGCTTATTTGCTCCTGTTGCCCGATCTGCTCCACTAACCTGTGTCTGCTATTTTTGCCAGAGAGGTCCCCCGGGTGAGCAGGGTCCTCCTGGGCCTCCGGGCCCCCCTGGAGTTCCCGGCATCGATGGCATCGACGTAAGTTTCTATCTCCAGGTCGCCTCTGTTCCTCAGTCCTGCCTTTTCCTATTCTTTTCCCAGGGCTCCTGTGGGTTTTTAGAGAGGACCAGGATCTCCCCCTCCCGCCACCCCACTTAAAGGCAGAATCGGATGTGGACGAGATTTGGGGGTTGGATCCTAGGAGCCCGGAGATTTTTGGAGGGGGAGGTGTCCCTGCTGGTCATGAACCTCCACATTTGACCCTTACTCCATCCCCATCCTTGTGATGAGCTCTCCTGGGATTGTCCCAGTGGAGTCCCCAGACTGTCCCGCTCATAGACTGCTTTCTCTTTTTCTACTACCCCTCCAGGGTGACCGAGGTCCTAAGGGTCCCCCGGGCCCACCGGTAAGTTAATTGATGCGAACGGCACTCCACTTCCTTCCTTTGGACATGTTTTGCAGCCCTCTGTGTCCGAAAGGTCTCAACTTTGCACCTTTTTCTTTCCTGTCCCCGCACCCTCCTCCCCCTGCTCAGGGTCCTGCAGGTGAACCGGGAAAACCAGGAGCTCCAGGCAAGCCCGGCATACCCGGCGCTGATGTGAGTAGACGAGTGTTGGGAGGGCGCCTAGCCTGGCGTGTGGTGTGTGTGTGTGTGTGTGTGTGTGTGTGTGTGTGTGTGTGTGAGAGAGAGAGAGAGAGAGAGAGAGAGAGAGAGAGAGAGAGAGAGAGAGAGCGCGCCACAGAGAGAAGGCAACCTGCCTTTAAACTTGGCCTCCTGCCAGCGCCTGACTGAGCTTGGAGCTGGCAGCTTTTGCAAAAGGAATCCTGAAGGTGGGGGATACCTCTCTCCAGGCGCTGGCATTTCCTCGTCTTAGAAAACAGCACCGGGTACCGGTTTCCTGTTTCTAACCGTGACCTCCGCATGTACATTGTGAACTCTCAGCCCCACTGCGGGCACAGTGGGTACAGGTGGCAGTAGATTCTACAGGCCTCGGCTTATGGGCTGTGAGCCCACTGGCACGCTCCTGGAGGCTAGCCTTCGCTCTTGCTCTTTCACTGGCACTCCCTGGATTAATTTAGAAAAAGAGCCTGTAGGTAGTCAAAGGGCAGAGTACTCCTAAATCCCAAGGAATGCGAAAAAGAAAAATGCACTTGAAGTGTGTGGGGATGTGCGGAGATGGGGTGGGGAAGGAGAACATCAACACATATCATCAGATAAGAAAAACTAAAAAAAAACTAGTTTTGAATGTAGAAATTCAAAAATGTTCCTCTTTCCATGGAGATTTTCTGGCTGGCATTACTGGTAGAAATGAGCTGGCTGGGGTTGTATGAAGATTAGGAACCGGTAACCTTTCTCCAGTTTACCCCCATATCCATCAAATGCTGAGTTACATGGTAAACCTAACACTAAATAATACTTCTTCAGAGTAAAATGACTTCAGGATTCTCAGCTTCTCCTCCTTCCATGCATTCTATCAATATTTAATGAGGTCCTGCTAAACACCAGTCCTTGACTGTCCCCAGAATACTAAATGAAGTAAGAAACGGCCTCTGTCTTAGAGAGCATGCCATGGTGCATCACTCAGGTTATTCTTCAAGTCACCACTCTGTGTGTTGTCCAAAAACCAAAGACTTTTCTAAATGAAAAAAAAGCACCCGAAAACCTATAATTATGATTTCTAAGAATTTTTGACTACAGTTTAAGACAGATGCTTCATTTAGAAAGAAAAATAAATAACTGGATTTTTACTGTTATTAAGTTGTGCTTTCTTTGTCAGGAGTCCTATAATGAAGGTGTTTGTTTGTCTATATGATTTAGTGTTTGTGGGGTTTTTTTTTTGTGTGTGTGGGGGGGGTTTATTTTGTTTCGTTTTTTTGAGATGGAGTCTTGCTCTAGTTGCCCAGGCTGGAGTGCAATGTATGGCATGATCTCGGTTCACTGCAACCTCCGCCTCCCAAATTCTAGCGATTTTCCTGCCTCAGCTTCCCCATTACCTGGGATTACAGGTGCCAGCCACCACGCCCCACTAATTTTTGTATTTTTTTGTGGAGACAGGATTTCACTATGTAGTGTTTTAGGAAACAGATCTTGGTTTACAAAGCCCCTAGTTTGAACTTTCTGTGTATGCAAATTAGCAGTACAGGAGGCACCCAAGACTAATATTTACATAGTAAAAACTGAATCTCAAACAAGTGTTTGTATAAATATAATATGAACCAAAATAATATAACTTGTTGGCAATCAAACTCTTTGGAACATCAATAATTACCTGAAATTGTCATACCATAAGAAAAAGAGTTAGATAAATGCAAGGCCACTGAGCAAACTAGTAGCCTAATGTAGCTTGAATTTATTTCTATATTTCTTTGAAACTTCAATCAGCTCTTTGTTCTAGATGAAAAGAAAATTTTCTGACTAAATTAAAAAAATTATTTAGGTAAATAAAATATTTATTTTGTATTTCAAAAATTTATTTTGGTAACTGAAGCTTAAATGGGTCATCTGAAGCCTTGTCTTGCTATTAAGCTGCAATATAATGTCAGACAGAACTAGATAATGTCGGACAGAAATCTAGACTTATCTGCCCCCTGATTTAATAGTGCTTTTGTAGCTTACTCAACAGATTCTTCTTCACCTTATACCATGGTGTCATAAAGACAATCCTCAGCTTATAATTTCCCCACTCTAACAGAAGTTTTGGATAAACAAATAAAAGTGCTTTGAAATTTTTAGAAGTAAAACATAGAAAACAATTTCAAGTAAATTTTTCTTTGTTTATATTTGCAGACTCACAGTGTAGCATAAACCATACTTCAAATATTAAAAGACATAAAAGAATAAGCTGTCTTAAGTTATTGAACTTTGACCTGAGGTAGAAAATGATGAGCATATTTCATCAGTCTGCTGGGACAGCAGAGGAAAGCAAAAGAGACACGGAGGAAGAGGGAGAAAAAAGAAAATCCATGTATATGCCAGTATTTTAGGCATTTTCTAGATCTCAGGGAAAATTAACTATACTATATACATTTACATAGAACTTTTTCCTCAAGTACTGCCACAAATATTTCTTTTAACCACACAATAACCTGGAAAGGATTGGTCTAATATTACTTTCCATAGATAAGGAAACTGAATAATTATGAAGACAAGTGGTTTCCTCAGAGAACTAGGGTTTAGTAGCTAAGATAGCAAAATAGTACAGATTTCTTGATTTTTAGACTCCCCAGCCAACTCTGCCTCATGCGGATACAAGCGAGGTTCTTAACAGATGAGAGAGAATAGCAAGAATAGAGAGAAAAAGCAATAGTGAATTTTTAGTACGTAAGTCACCTACCAAGAAGAATGATATGAATAATAAAAGCCATTTGTAATTGGTATTTTATAATTATTTATAAATATTGGTATGTTTTATATTCTCTGGCTTTTGAATTGAAGCCACATGAGACTTCTGGAACTGAAAAGTTTTCTTATTCCACTCTTTGATTTGACATTAAAAAAGTATCTTTTAATCTAACTTGAGAATGGACATCTTTGAGAATAATGAAACACAGTAACTGGATCAGAATTCGCTGTTTGTGTGTCCTTGGCCATAGGGGAGCTAAGTAAGTAGGAGAGCTTCAGCAGTCCTTTCCTGGTAGATGAACCTGAGTGTGCTGGTTGGACCTTAAACCCCCAATCTCTTCGTCTTCTGCTCTTTGGGTCATTACAAGCCTTGTTTTTTGGTAATGTTAAAAAATGGTTAATAGGATGATGGTTGAAAGAATCAGAAAGGAACCCTGTTCAGAGTTCATTGTCCTGTGCAGAATGAATTTTTGGCAGAAAATGTAAATGAGTCATAGCAGTTATGCTTCTAGGAGTATGCCTTGAGTCCTACCAGCTGAGCTGTCAGAATGCTGGAAGGAAATCTCCATTGAGGACTGGTATTCTCTGCCAAACAGTGACATGAAGTTCAGAACACAGTCAGCTTCAATATTATCCTGTATAGAACTTTGTATGAACATTCATATGAAGGTAATTTTTTCTGCTACTGGTAATGTTTTATTTCTTTGAAATAGGAATGGGGGTCTTATTGCAAATTGGATTTTGAAAATTATGTATGTGTTATGAGTGTGGTCTGTGTATTTCAATTCAAATCTGTCCTTTTTCAGGTTAAGTTGATTTTTATTTTTATTTTTTGGCTTATGGACATGTAAAATTAGAGAAGCCAGAACTTGGTTCTAACCTTAGGACAATTGTGCTGTTTTCAGCAATTATATTAATAGATAGATTAATTAATACATATTTTCATATGTACTATTTGTTGTGACATACTCAGAGAGATCTTTAAAAATAGTATTTTATTCTTTCTTATAACATCCATATGAGATAAGAAGAGGAATTAGAATAAAGTATAAGAATTATAGCTAAACCGTGGTAATTTTTACAGGAAGAGGCTAGGTGATTTGTATTCTCTGAATGTATACAACTATTATCTGTGGCAGATGTTTTATAACTAGGATTGGGAGTTATTAAGAAATTATTCTGAAAGGTCAGTCTAGCTACAAATATTCAGGCATTGAAAAAGTGTGATGAGACCAGGAAGTACAGTACTGTGGTTAATACCTAGATTTTGGTTTGCTTGTTTGTAGGACCTTTTCTCAATTAGGAACAGCATCTAGAACACTGTGCAGTTAGGCACCTTGCCCATGATTCACAGCTGCTAAGTGGTAGGATCAGGATTTGAGCTGAATATAAAGATGATGTGGAGGAACAAGTGTAATATCTCTCCATTTAGAAGGACTCCTTAAATTTATTGTATATGGTAATCCACATCTTGAGTGGTTAGACGCCATGGCAACATGTTAGGACTGTAAAGGACATGTGGTTCTTGTCCTCAGGGAGCTTATGGTTTTCTGCATAGTTATTTTGTAACAGGTGTCACTGTAACATCTGACACCTGAATCCATTTTCAACCTAGTTCAAAGAACTTTCCAGTGATTGACATGATTTATCACTTCTTATGGAGGATTTTTTTTTTTTTGATACAGTCCAACTCTGTCGCCAGGTTGGAGTGTGGTGGCACGATCTCAGCTCACTGCAACCTCTGCCTCCTGGGTTCAAGCGATTCTCCTGCCTCAGCCTCCCAAGTAGCTGGGACTATAGGCGTGTGTCACCATGCCGAACTAATTTTTGTGTCTTTAGTGGAGACAGGGTTTCATCATGTTGGCCAGGATTGTCTTGATCTCTTGACCTCACGATCCACCCACCTTGGCCTCACAAAGTGCTGGGATTACAGGCTTGAGCCACCACGCCCAGCCTATGGACGATATTTTAAATATGAAATAACCTAAAAACAGCCTTCAGGTTATCCAATCATTTACTTGGTTCTGCTTTATAGTTACTGTTTTCCAATCTCATCAGTTATTCTAGTCATAGGTTGAAGAGTGTTAGTTGATTGTGTGTTTGAAAATTGAGCAGAATTGGTCTTGGAGGGTTTATGCATTAAGTGGGAGTTAGAGGATCCATTACTGTAGTTAAATATGCCCAGAGGTTTACAAAATTTACATGCCATATGTGTGTCCATAGTGCTCCTGGATGTATGGTTTGTTTGTGAAATACCAAAACAAACATTTCATTACCATAGGTGCTTAGCAACTGATCATGTTGAGGCTTGTTCTCAAATTACAGTGTTGTAATTAGACTAGGGCTCTTGAAAATCAAAGGCAGTCTGTCAGAAATTCTTTTTTGTGTGTATTTAACAGTTTTCTTCTTTGGTAAATTTCCACTAATTAACATTTTCAACTCATTTTTTTCTACTTCCTTTGATTCATTCTGTGACATTTTTAGGAAAATTAATTAATGTAGAGAAATGTAAAAATGGTGGCCAATGAACTAATTTCCTATGTGAATTATGTGAAGGAATTTTATTGATATTTATTTCAGACCATGACAGACTAAATATGAATGTTGGTGATCAATTTTTAAGTAGGGCTTACATATTTTTCAAGAGATCCATCTCTCAATTGATATTGTTTGAGTATTCTTTAAAATCTTGATAATAGAGTTAATAAGATACTTACACAGGCATGTATGTATATGTACACACATATATATCATGTTTATGTTTAAAAAGATATAATATCAAGATTACATTGTAAATGACAGCATCTGAAAGTGTCAAAGAGCAAAGAAAAAATTAAAAATAGCAATGTGTCTTTACCAAATACGGAAATTCTTGTATACGTGTGATATTATTATTCTTTAATACATGTTTTATATGGAGGACAATGATAAAGTAAATACTAGAAGGGAAAATGAGAATGTTTAGAATACGTATTTAATAACTGCTTTAGTATTAAATATGATAATTATAAATGTGGTTTATAATAATAGGCTAAAATTTTGCAAACCGAGTGGCATACATGAATATATATACTTAATTATAGTTATTTTTACTAAGAAAAATAATGTAGAAACATGCATGCTTCAAATGTTTCTACTTTAAAAATTAATATTCTTTGATAAGCAATTGTCATTGCTAGAAGTTGGGTAGGGGGCTGTTAGTGGCTATAAGGCAATAATGAGATTTTTGTGTTTAATTCTTATTGAGGAAATATTTTAATGACTTCCAAGACATTGTCGTCATGGGCTAGGGGGCTGTTAGTGGCTATAAGGCAATAATTAGATTGTGTTTAATTCTTATTGAAGAAATATTTTATTGAATTGCAAGACATTGTGGTCATATAGTTAGAAAGAGATTATTGTCCCATAGAGAGATACATAGTATTTTTGTTTCATAAATGAAGTAAAGGAGGTAAATAAACCTGAGTAAATGGCAGAGCCAAGACCCACTAGTTTTAGCTATTACAACATTGTAATTGCATTTTTTTTTTTTGCAAAGCAGAGACAAAAAGCACTAAATTATTGAACCCTGTGATAAACAGTGCAATTAGCAGGAAGTTAGAAATATGATACAATTTATCAAGAAAAAATAACCACAACAGGCAAACCTTAAGTTAATCTTCACTTTTGAGTTAGAATCTAGGAAGGTACTTCTTTATCAATATTTGCATCATACATATATAACCATCCTGTAGATGATTAATAAATAAAATCAAAGTTTTCCACCTAGTGGTTTGCCTAAGGATATTATGATAGCTCTAACATCATTGTCTTGCTCTGTTAGGGATTAACAGGACCTGATGGATCCCCTGGCTCTGTGGGACCAAAGGGACAAAAAGTAAGTTAGCCATCTCGTAATAACTGCTGGTGTGAAATGCTGAAGCACAATTTTATTGTAGTGTTTGCAAGCCGACTAAGTTATGAAGCATCTAAAATACACTTGTTCAACTAAAATTGTGTTTAAAAACACCATGATATGGAATACTATGCGGCCATAAAAAGAAACAAGATCAATTCCTTTGCAGCGACATGGATGGAGCTGGAAGCCATTATTTTCAGCAAACTAATGCAGGGACAGAAAACCAAATACTGCATGTTCCCACTTATAAGTGGGAGCTGAATAAAGAGAACACTTGGACACATGCAGGGAACAACGCACTGGGGCTTGTCGAAAAATAGCGGGGTAGGAGGAAGGAGAGCATCAGGAAGAATAGCTAATGAATGCTGGGCTTAATACCTGGGTGATGGGATGATCTGTGCAGCAAACCACCATGGTACATGTTAACCTATTTAACAAACCTGCACATCCTGCATAGGTACCCCTGAACTTAAAATTAAAGTTGGAAATTTTAAAAAAAGCCCTAATGGGATGTTTAAATGGTTTCAATACTTATGCAGTCTTCATATCTATATATTCATGCTATGAAAGGTCAGTACAATTGAACTATTTTTATTTTTAGGGAGAACCTGGTGTGCCTGGCTCTCGTGGATTTCCAGTAAGTAAATGTACAGCTACAGAAAATTTCCTATGTTTAAGTAAAATTCTGCCATTATGAAATTTTTTAAATGCAGTTTTCTGCATAATACATATGACAAGTAAGTTGATGACATCTGGTATGGTAAGCATTCCTACTGTGCATGGAAAAATTTTAGAGAAATCTGAATGTACAGTAGAAAATGTGTGTTCTATTTGCAGGCGATATTTCACAATAGACAATTTCCTCTTTACCTGCAATGACAGAAAACACTTCTTGCATAACAACAGCAAATCTAAGTATTCAATCTTTAGACCATAGAATCACACACCACATTCTTCACAACTGGTTTTATCTCTAATGAAACATCAACTAATCAGATATTATCACTTGCCTGACTCTGTGGCCAGTCTTCTTGTATATCGCATAGTGTCGCAGGCGTGTCTTGTTTGTGTATCTGAGGACTAGGTTCTCAGGCTGCTTTCCCTGTCTACTTTGCACTTTGTTCCACTTTCACTCTTGTCATTAATCTATATTTTTTCTTCTTTTTTGCTATTTGTGATATTTTCTTTGCCATGTTTCAGCATGTCAACTTTTCCATTATAAGCCTGTTTTCAGAAGTGAACAACTTGCTGGCCTTTCTCCCAGGTTTTTCAACTCAGCTCTTAATCTCAACATCTTATAGAGATGCCTTTTTTGTTTAATGAAATTTGTTGAACATCTACATTTCTGATAATGAAATAACTTACTGATTACATTGGTGTTTTCAAGCATAACACTTATTTCCTGAATTAACCTATGTATTAAAGTGTTCAAACGGGAGTCATTTTCTCAAGAATGCCTTTTAAAATTCTCACTGATTATTAAAACACTGAAATTCTTGCTTGTTTTGCCAGCTCAACTAATAAGAAATAATAATATCATTATCAGTGCATTGATTCAGTGGGATGCTTTGTATATGGATATTTTAGAAAAGCAAGTCTGGAGTGAAAAGCTAACATGAATATTGTATCACAGACAGCTCTGAATAAAAGCTGTTCTAGCCAATGTAGGAAAGAAAAGAATAATGAGAAGTCACAAGGGGAAAAAAATTGAACTTGGAAATTAAAGAGAGAGAATAGAGATCTAGGCAGCTGATATTCAGTTTTAATTTCAACAAGCGTATTATTAAGTTTTGTTATATACTAGGCCCTGTGCTATGAGTTAGGATAGGAAGATGAATAAGATGTGGTTCAATCCTTGATCATATAAAGTTTGGTGTTGTTAAAGAGATATAAAAAAGGAAATAGAATGACTAGCTTAAAAATAAAATATAACATATTAAATTAGTTTCCCATTGTAGGTTACTTCAGGAGTGACACCATTTTATTTTCAATATCTACTGGATTTAGCGTCTGAAAATATAGCCCAATCTTTTGAAAGGCAGTTGTGTTTCTGATCCATTTTTGTCCCTGCCTCTCTCTGTGATAGGTGTTTGTTTGGGGAACATCTAAACATAATTTTTTAAAGATTGTAAAACTGGAATGCATTTAATGTAGGTTTCATATAAAATGCTACAAATGAATAGTCTTTAAACTCTCCAGTTGTAATGCACCCCTTGGTGAGTGACGGTAAGTTCTCCTGAGGGCAAGCATGGATGGCTTCTTTACTTTGATTTCCTTAAAAAAAAAAAAAAAATTTGGAAAAATACCAGTTCGCATAGACATCAAAGGAATGTTTGAGGAGCTGAAATAAGCCTCTGCTTTCTTTAAAAGGAGAGCCATGTTTGCTTTTCTTTATCCAGTGCTTTCTTTAGAATAAGCATCATTTTTAGTAAGGATTTATGGTTTAACTGAGTTCTGTCTACGTTCATATTTATACTAAGTATAAACCTCATGTTATAAACATTTTTATTGTACTCTTTTAGGGCCGTGGTATTCCTGGGCCCCCTGTAAGTATCATTTCATAATTTATTTTACACAAACTATAAAAATGCCCTATTTCTCAAATTCCCACCTTACTTTTCTACTAGCAGTCTACTCAGCGGTGTTTATAGCATTCTACCTACAAGATCTTAGGTGGCTAACTAAGGATAACACCCTTATTCTGCTAAACAAAGTATTTATTAATTTAGGAAATTTCTGCTTTATCTTAAGTAATTAAAGATTGGTCAAATGAGTTATTGTCTCATTGGAAACCAAAGCTAATACAGAAATATAATTCTGTTATTTATCATATTTAATATCATGTATGATAGATTGTAAAAATATTCATAAATGACCATTTGCTTTTATTTGTTGACTTCAGGGTCCTCCTGGGACAACAGGACTCCCTGGAGAGCTTGGCCATGTAGGACCTGTTGTGAGTACCACAGTGCATTTTGATAGACCTTTGCTGATTTAATAGAAGATGTTACTTGGGAAAGCAAATTGTCCTAACTGTACATTTCCACTTGCAATCCAAAACATGGCAGATGAATTTCATTCCAGTTTGTAATATTGATGTGAACCAGGAATAATAATAATTTTTGCAGAGTGATTTAAATTTTTACCTAAAGTTTTCAGCTAAACTTTTCTTCTCAACTTCTAGATTGTCAAGTAAGGGAGTGTCATCCTCATTTTACAGACTCTCAGCCAGGACTAGAGTCTAGTGGCTTTTGTATTAGACTCTCCGCATGAAATAAAAGGAAATAGTTTAAATTATTACCATGTATATTTATGTTAGGATCATTAAACTATAATTCAGTCAACAAAATTTAACTTTTAACATTAAAGAGCGGGACTTCATAAAAATGTCTCATATAAAATGCCTGTTATTGATATTAATAAACATTTCAAAAACATTGACATAGTGATGTTATGTGAAGGTGGGTGATTGTAAACTCACTATGGGAAGTAGTCATGTATCATATATCTTGTTTGTTCCTCTACATGTGTTTACTGTTTGGAAATTTATTTAGTGAACAAATGAATAAATATAAAATGATTGTAAAGTTAAAATAATTGTAAGATGCTTCTGACTTTTTATGGCAGAACATCAAGAAGGAAAATGTGCCAAGAGTAAACACTGGATGTTAAGAGTAATTGGAACCTATTTCCATCTGAATGGTTTACTTCAATGTAGCTTTCTTTGATTTTCTGACCCATTGCAAGAGAGTGCAGTGACAGACCAAGTGACAGATTGTGGGTGAACAGCACTAGCAAGAGTCAGGCACTGCAGAGATTAACCTTCATTTCACAGCTTCAGACTGAGTACAAGACTTCTTTTGTGCTGATTAGCCGGATGGCACTAGCAGTATTGGTTGCTCTGGGTCCTCTGTAAATCAACTAGAAAAATAAGTAGTGTTTCCAGTTTGTTTTCAGAGTAGATAAAATGTTCGTCCTGTAGAGAAGAACTGGCTTTGCTTTTTCCCCTAGCCTTTCTCTGACTTGTTTTATTACCTCAGTGAGACTGGAATGCCTTTATTATTCTCATTTTGTAGAACTAATTGGATTATGGGCCACCCATTGATTTTGGTGGCAGGTCTATGCATGGCTGAGCTCAGTAGGGGTTTCCAGTAGTACCGGTCTCTCATGCCTCACTGGTTTTATGTATTGTGTTTTGACACATGTATAACTACTATGTCACAATTTTCAAATAACTTAGGGTGACCCTGGGAGAAGAGGATCACCTGGACCCCCTGGACCCCCAGGACCCAGTGTAAGTTATTTGCAGCTTGAATTTCTCTTTATGTCTGAGAGTCAAGGTTGAAAAAAATCTAAGAACCCAAAATGGAAGTTCTTATTAATTGAGTAATTACCCCAAATTTCCAAAATGGCTGTCAATTTCTTCATCCACCCAGAGCATGGTTCTTTTTAGGCCAAAAAGTAGAGGAATCACAATAATTTAAAAGGTGGTTTTTATATGGCAAGTCTTACTCATTACTTTTGAAGTCCTTAGACAGTTGTGACGTCTGAAATGCTCAAAACTTGGATATAAATGAAGCATTTTCAAATAAACTAGTTTTTACAAAGATACTCCTAGTAAGAAAAATGGTAAGAATAGGAGTTTAAATAAAAGATAATTCATATTTTTAATTTATAATTCAGAGTTTCCCACATTTTCTATTTTGCCTCTTATTTCATTTCCCTCAATGTCTTCCCAAAATAATCTACTGCAATTTATGGTTTTCCAAAAAGAACATGCCCATGAGTCAGGATTTTAGAATATTAGCATATTATCTGCTCCTATTTGTTTTTTATATTTTATTAAACAAATATATCTCATATTTTTGCCTGATTAGATTTCTATTATTAGTATGTTTGAATTCATTATTTAATTATATTCTCAACTTTAATATTTTATTTACTTTAGGGAACAATTGGCTTTCATGATGGAGATCCACTGGTAAGATGCTTTCCGTTGATCAAAATATAGTTTCAATTCAAAGACCATATAGTCTGCAGATCAGTTTTCTTTGAAAGATCTCCCTGGAATATACTATGTGTCCATGTTTTCCTTTTACTCAGATGGCAGAGCAGTCTGTAACACTAGTGGACTGGTGGCTTTCATCTACTCAGACTAATAATTTTTCATTATAGATATTATCTTTGTTTTTCTATAATCTTTTTACATTATGACTAAGGCATGCTTTTCACGAGAGCATCCAGGTTTTAAAGAGATAAAATTCAAGTAACTTCCTTTAGGATTCATTTTACTCATAGATCAACACTCCAATGATAGTGATAATGTGCATTAAATGCCATGTAGGACAATCTGATGGGAGGCATGAGCCTCAGGATGGGGCTAGTCCAGTGGAATGGGAAGGGGAAATAAATCCAGTCATGGTACAATAGGTTATCTGTAAATACATTTTCTTTAATAAATTAGATTTGAAATAAATATTGCAAAATATTAACATTAATTTAATCTGGATGGTAAATTCATGGGGGAGGATATTTGTTATATTCTCTACACTATTCTGTTAGCTAGAAATATTTCTGGGTTTAAAAGTGAAATAATAAAAAAGGAAAGGGATATTTTGAATTATTTAATGAATATAATTGCAATGGAGTTCTGTAACTGGAATCCCTTTAAAAAAGACTTTGTCACAAAGCAGGAGCCCTAGTTTATGCACTCTGCATGTCTTTCTTTCTCTCTGTTTCCTCTCTCCCTGGCAGTGTCCCAATTCCTGTCCACCAGGTCGCTCAGGATATCCAGGCCTACCAGGCATGAGGGTAAGAGAATAACTTCCAGTATTTTATCTTTAAGAATATTATCCCCAGATAAAATGGAGCCTTTACTTTAAGCATTAGCCTCCCCAGTGCAGAGACCTCACTTGGATGGATCAGGCAAGTAGTGGTTATTCAGTCCTAGAGACTCCAGCTGGCCCTGACATGTATTCATAACAAGACATGCATGTTTAATCATAAGATGCCTTTCTAGTTCAGGGAAGAAATACCAATAAAACACATTGGATTGAGATACTTTAAAACACCAAATTAAGATTCAGAAGTTTGCTTCCTGGCTGGGCGTAGTGGCTCACGCCTGCCTAGAACTTTGGGAGACCAAGGTGGGAGGATCGCTTGAACCTAGGAGTTCGAGACCAGCCTGGACAACAGAGGGAGACCCCTGTCTCTATAAAAAATAAAAAATTAGCTAGGCGTGGTGGCGTGTAATTGTTGACCTGGCTACTTGGGAGGCTGAGGTGGGAGGATCACTTGAGCTAGAGAAGTCAAGGTTGCAATGAACTGTGATTGTGCCAATGCACTCCAGCCTGGGTGGTGGAGAGAGACTGTGTCTCAAAAAAAAAAAAAAAGTGCTTTCTATTAAGGAAGATAGTGGTGGGGGTAGTTGGGGGGGGGTCTGTGTACATAATGTACTTGATAACTTTTAGTTAAAAAAAATTTGAAAAACTGTGCAAAATAGGAAAAAGAGACTTTCCAAAAGTATTTTTCTGTCACTGTAATTACTTCAAAATTTTCCATACAGACAAAAAATAAATACCAAATTGTGGGCATAAATTGTCTTTTCTCTCTCTCATCTCTGAGTCTAAAGAGATTTTGAGAAATTCCAAACCAATATTGCTCTGCTATGATCTGGAAGGCCCCAAGGCACTGGGTTTCCATTGGGTTTTTTCTTAGGGCAGTTTTGGTGGGTTCCCTCAACTGCAGAAGATTCGGGCCTGGACTGGTGTCCTATTTTTCAAAAAGACTTCTTTCAGGGGCAAAAGTTCTGACAGTCTTCATTTTGGAATGCTTGTCTCACAGTTTTGTCTCCTGATACTACCCAAAGCAATCAAATGCTTAGGACAAGTGGTCTGATAAGAAAAGACAGGGATCTTCTTTTCATCCAATGTAGCTTTCACTCACTGCCCTTTATTGCTTTCCCTTTGCACTTAAAAATTGTACACAGAAAGAGGCAGAAGGTTGTACAGCAGAGAACGTCCACTTATACCAGCTCTTCCTCCATCTCCAGGAAGGAGTTGGGAATGGAGGAGGCTAAAGGGTTTTCAGAGCAGCCTTCAGAGAACAGGGGATAGCCAGCTGAGCTCGGTCAGGCCTGTCACTTCTGAAAGGTTAAGTTACTGGAACTAGAGAAAACTTAATGCTCCTAACCCGCGTGAGAAAGTTGGGGAAATAGGGATCCAGGAAATAGCGAGCAAGTATCAATGAATCACATTGCTGAACTAGATAATGAAGTGTTTGTTAGTCTAGAGAAGTGTTTTTCTATTAACTAAAACTGATGTTAATTATATATGGCAGTCATGTAATATACATGGTGCTATTAAGGTAATTTAAGGCACGAATTTTCTTTATGACATAATCCATTTCTAGTGACACTTTGGCACTGATTTAGGGAAGAAGGATCACTTTATGAGCCTTCTGACCACTTTCTGTACCAAACTCAGGACAATTATATATATACATATATATATACACACACACACACACACACACATATATATGTGTGTGTGTGTGTGTGTGTGTGTGTGTGTGTGTATACATACACATATATACATATATTACTTAATGTTTATTTATTTTGCATCTGTTAGGGTCATAAAGGGGCTAAAGGAGAAATTGGTGAACCAGGAAGACAAGGACACAAGGTAAGGAAAATGAGTATTTAGTGAATAAATTGTGATTAGGAGTTAGTGATCACTGTCATTATGGGAAATTAGGAATCATAGGAAATAATGAATCATGACATTTTACCCTTCTTTTTCAAATAATAATTAACAAGTTCTAAGTGGATGCATCAATATCTGACTAAATATCATATTCTAAAGTTGTCAGTTACAAAACACACTTACAAATAAGGCACCAGCCATTTTCATTTTTTTTCTGTGTCACTATCTTTTCTTTTCAAATCAATCACACTTAGCTTTTTTCCATTATGCTGTGATAATCCAACATTATTCAGATAGTTGTTCCACTTCACCAGACAAAATTTTATGACATTTGTAAAATTTTATGACAAGTGTTGCTGAGACTAGCAAACAGGGAAGTTGGTAATTGGCTTATTGCTTCTCATCTCAAGTTCTGAAATAATTTATCTATTTATTTCTGACCTCATTTCCATATAACCTAGATTTGGAGTAAGCTGGAGGTTAGTAATAACTTATGTTAGTATCTGGATAGAAATAGAATCCACAGCACAATTTGCATTGCAGCTGGCATGAGCTGCAGAAAAACTAAGGCTGGGATTTAAAGCAAGGTAACCTATTTGCCCTTTTTTCATCCACTAGTGTCTAAGTCATCTTTAAGTATCTAAGAATTTGACTTCCTGCATAGTAGGTTTTGTCTCAGTAAATTTGATAATATTTTACAAAGTCAAGTTGTTCTTATTAATGTAGGTCCTGTTTACTTTTTTTCAACTATGTCCTACTACACCTTTATTGGGTAGTGACAGAAGATTAGTTTGTTTCCCTTTGGAAGTCAAGAACTTGAGAGGCAATTTATCAATGTCTTCAGGGATTAATATCCTTGAACTTCATAGCTAAAATCAGTCTTTTAAATAACCTCAAATAATCACAATAAATAGACCAATTTTCTCTACCCTGTTTCAGTTTGGACATTTATTTTAAAACTCTTTTATTGCATAGGCTGTGATAGTTAAGGCATTTTATTTATTTGAAGCATAACAGCTGGGTTCCTGATATCAAATTGGAGAAAATAGGAAAAAAACCAAGTGCTTTGGAAATTTTTCTGTGTGATCACTCTTCTGCTGAATCTTAAAAATTTTCATTAAAAATTTTGACAAATATAAAGTACCTTCTGTGTGCCGGGGTTATTCTGAGTACAGGGGACACAGAAGTAAAAAAAAAAAAAAAAAAGAAAAGAAAATAGGTCCAAGCACAGGGGACTAAATTAAATATGTTGTAGCCATATAATAATAGAATATTAGTTAACTACAAAAAACAGGTGTGTATGAATATTAAATTATATCAAAAGATATTCATGAAGTATTCTATGCAGTAAAGCAAATGTAGTAGACTTCTGGTATTTTTCATGTTTGTATCCCTTTCTCCTTCTCTTGGTGATGCTTTCCTTTGGGGAACTTTCAATCCCCTATCCCACGGGATTTGGAGATGGAGATGTTAATCCAGGTGCCCCTCCACTTTACCATGAAGCTAGTCTTTTTGGTATTTAAACAAGTTATTATCAAGACTCTCAAATTTGGTTTGTTCTTCAGTGGGAAACCTACAATTTTTTTTGGTATATCAAGTAATTGGTCAAAATTTACTTTGAAAGTTGTTGAAAATTTCTTTAACTTATTTCACATTTTTGTGTCACTTAAAAGTGTAAGTGATGATGTCTTTGAAAGTCGATAGAATGGCCATAGTTCATTGCAGAATGAACCTTGAAAGGGTGAGCAGGTAGACTGAACTGAAACTGGAAACAGAATGGTAAGAGCTTGGAGGCCTGAAGTTTGGATTCAAATTCACAAATTCGTCTTGAATTTTACCCTACAATTTAGTTAATGAAGATTTAAAAAACTGCTTATGAATATAGGAATGAACAGTAAAATTTCAATTAAAATGTCATGTATTGGCAACATCATACAGTGGATCAATACTCATGCAAAATTCAGTGAAATGATAAGTTGCTACTCATAAATTTGTCATTTGACTTCATGATTATGAATTAGTTGTGTGGTTTTCACCTGTAGGTGAAACAATTCAAATATATTACTCCAAAGTTCATGGAGAATCTGTGGAAAATACCCTGTACCTTGTTATGGAAAAATTGCACTGGACGTATCAATCACTGCTGTTTTGTAGCTAGTTTTATATTTTTGTAGGGAAATAGAAGTAGCATTTAATTAGCACATGCCAAGAACCAGCTAATTCTCTGGCTTTCCCATTGGGACTGCCTCTTCCCAATGTCAGTCATAGACTCTAATGAAATATAATCTGAATATAATTATGTGGCTAAAACCAATATCTACAACTCTCATAATTTGTTTTAAAAATCAAGATAAATGATTTCAATATTGTCAAGATTTTAATTCTTGCCATATTAATCTATTAACTTAATGCAATCCTAGTACAAAGCAAGCAGTCTCTGTAAAGATCTGCCCAATGATTCTAAAGTTTATTTGGAAGAGTAAACATTCAGGAAAATCTAAAATATAAGAGTAACTATAAATGAAAAATAAAGATAGGGGAATTCTTATCTGAGAGTAAAATGTATTATAGAATTTCAGTAATTAACATGTTTTGGTATTGGCAACATCATACAGCACATCAGCAGAGCAGAAGCGAAGTCTAGAGCCAATAACCACTTAGTATATGTTAGGATGAATTTTGAAACCTTTGTGGAGAGAATCGATTATTGGAACAGTGGCCAATTACTGAGAAAAAAGAAAAAATATTTCTATGTTTTGTTTTACATCAAAACAAATTACTGATAATTAAAGATTGCTACATAAGAAGTTATAACATTACTAGAGCAAAAATATAAATAAATGTATATTTTTGGAGTGGAAAAGGCTTTTCTATGAGTGACATCAAAGGTATAACCCATGAAATAAATGACTGATTTATATTTAAATATTGTATATGGTGCAAAAATTATAAGAAAAGCTAAAATGAAAATTATCATGAAAAACTATTGTAGCTTATGAAAACATTTTCATAGTATAATTAAATTTTTTTATAGTAATACATCCTCCTCCACTTGACACACACTTGAAACATAAATAAGTATCTTTTCTCTCTCTCTCTCTGTCTCTCTTGGTATCTTATCTCTTGGTATCTTTGTCTCTCTTCCTCCTTGGGGCACTTTAGAAAAACTTTGAAAGGATAACATTTAAATGTTACTGGTATTTATAGTTAAATGGTGGGATTTGGGTGACTTTTTATATGTATACTTCTCTGTATTTTCTAAATGTTCTACAATTACTTTGGAATACCCATATAAAATAATTTAAGAAAGTAGAATAATCCAGGAGTCACCAAGTGAAATTAAAACATACTGAGTTAGACCAAGGCTATTTCTATGTTCATTTGCTAAAATAACATTTGGTGTGCTTTTCTCTGTTGTTTTTTTAGGGTGAAGAAGGTGACCAGGGAGAACTGGGAGAAGTCGGAGCTCAAGGACCTCCAGTAAAGTATTTTTTAAAAAATATTTAACTAGGTTATGTGAATTTTTTTTCATGACTGTTGGAATATTTTCTATTTAGCAGTTGAATGAATAGCATTACATGAACTTGGTGTCCTCTATTTTTCCACCATGCCAGCATTGGAGGATAACTACGATAACTACTTTTTCACAATTGGAGAGGGTCCTCATTATATATTCTAGAACTATTTTTTTTTAAAGAAAAACTCTACCTATAACTACATACATTCACCTATCAGATTTCAGGGCCAGGTAAATGAAAAGCAAATATTAAGCACAAGAGGATGATAGGTATCTTTTATGTCCTATTGTATTATTGCATGATATAATGAGAAAATTTTGTATATTCTAAATATGCAGTAGGTATATCATTTATTGGATTAATGTAGCTTATTTAAGTATGTCATCATTATAATTAACTAAAACATTCTTAACTGCTCATAATCATGTCTTTTAATAAAAAGTCCCTTGTGCTTTCGCAGATTTCTGCAATAATATTCACATAAGGTGATTTGGGGCATCATCAAACTTCAATTTGAAATGTTGTCAAATCAGAATTTGCATTACTTTTGTATTACATTAAAATGAAGTTGTTACACTTTTTTCTTGTTAAAATGAGTAATGACAATTTTGGAAATAATAATCAAACAATATTAAGTAAGTATTGCAGCTAGCCAGAGTGTAGACTATGTAAAAGATGAGGTCAAGTATTATTCTTAGAAACTGAAGAGTTAAAGACGACAAACACAGAACACCCTTCACCTGCTCTGCTCTCCTCCACAGGACTGGTTGTTTAAAAAGGGTTCAGGGAGCTGCGCAGATTAATGTTTAAGGGAATTTAAAGTTTAAGGGAAATTAAGCTAAGTCAGAGGATCTGGAAGAAATGGTCTCTGCTTTTAAGCTACATGAAAACTTTCAGGAATCTGTTTGTGTCCAGGGGTGTTTGTTTCAGAAGTTTGCCCTCCCCTGAGTGTTTGCCATATGAGACACCAGGGGCTGGACTCTGTCTTGCAGGTGGGAGATAGTGCTACATGGTGTAAGAGACATATGCCATATGCTTTTTTTTTCATCTGATGAAAATTTGGTAGGAATTTAAAGGTTGTTGTTGTTTTTTAAGCCATTCCTAAAGATTTTCAAAACCGGATTTTGCAAGCAACATTCTAAAACTGTGTTTTCAGGGATTAAAAATCTATGCTGGGCGCTGCGTGGCTCAAGTAGTCCATTGGGGGATATCCATTAGAGCTTGATGACATTCTGGTATGTGGGAATAGGTATGCCAAATTGTAAAAGCACGTACTTTTTAAGTGTATATGCACAAATATAAAGTAAGGTGACGTGGGGCATCATCAAACTTCAATTTCAAATGTTGTCAAATCAGAATTTGCATTACTTTTGTATTACATTAAAACAAAGTTGTTACAACTTTTAAAAATATGCTTTTTGGAATATTTAGACAAAGCTCTGTTCTTTAAAGTAGGCACCTCAAGAGACAATATGTGGACAATATGTGGTATTCTCGTGTCATTGCTATTTACCTAAATATTCATTTTGTAGAAATAACCTTAGGGTCAGTAAATGAGCTACACAAGAAAGAGCAGCTTTCATTTGACATGGCCACATCTCACTCGATATTCTAAATGGATATCCTAGACTGGATCATTCTGCATATTTGAATTGCAGGTCATTCCGACTGATCTACGTAGAATTTGCGACTGGTCTGAATGAGGAGTTGGTCATGGATTTCCCCATTTTCTCCAAGTGAAAAGAAGAGGGAAATGACTGGACTAGAGCTCCTTTGTCTTAAGCCAATGGGGACGGTTAGCAGGTTGTCCAAAAGTAGCTACTCCCACTTTCCTAACGGAGCATTCACCCTCCTCTGCTTCCAAGGGTATTCTCAGGCTCACTCCTTCCAGGATCCATTTCTGGAGGCCTCACAGTATGGGGCCAGAGAGTCCAGAACGGTAACATTTCAGTATTGAAAGAGAAAGTTTTAGCATTAGCCACTCTTATGCCTAAGGTGGGTTCCTATTGCACCAAGTTGGAATTCAGAACGCCTTTCATCATAAGAATGGTATAATGAATAGTGACTACAAGGAATTGGTGGAGGCTCCAGCTCCTTTCTAGGTTATAGGCTTGGTGGGCTAGCCTGAGAACCTACTGCTTTTGATGGTGTTCACTGGTGGGAAAAAATTCTTTCAAGGTTTAAAATCATGTTACATGTAACCAAGTTACATGCCATGAAGCAAGTGGGAATGATGGTGTAAGTTCTACATATAAGTTAAAAGGTAAGTCAAACATATTATCACAATTTCTCTTGTGCTGGTATTTACTTTTTTGTCATGAGTGATTGTGTCAACTCCAGTTTTGTGTAAGATTTCAGAATTTTATAAAAAGGTTTACCATCAGAAGAATTCTCCGTGGACTTTCTAAACTAGAAATGTTTGTTTATATATTGTCACTATTTCTTAGTATTACCTTTGGTTGTGATAATATCCATTTTCTAAATCAGCTTTTGTGATGAGATTTTAAAAAATCTTTGCTTCAACTACAATAATTCACTTTTCTGTTTTACATTTCCAGGGAGCCCAGGGTTTGCGAGGCATCACTGGCATAGTTGGAGACAAAGGGGAAAAAGTAAGATGGCGATGACAATAATATAATATCAAAATGTGTTAAATATTGAAATTTTGGCTATTTAAAAATAACTTTTTATCTTCAACAACATTTTTTTTTTTGATATGGAGTTTCACTCTTGTTGCCCAGGCTGGAGTGCAATGGCACGATCTTGGCTCATTGCAACCTCCACCTCCTGGGTTCAAATAATTCTCCTGCCTCAGCCTTCTGAGTAGCTGGGATTACAGGTACCTGCCACCACACCTGGCTAATTTTTGTATTTTTAGTAGAGATGGGGTTTCACCATGTTGGCCAGCCTGGTCCTAAACTTCTGACCTCACGTAATCCACCCGCCTTGGCCTCCCAAAGCACTGGGATTGCAGGCATGAGCCACTGAGCCTGGTCTAACAACATGACATTTTATTGATGATTTGTAGGTGTGTGATTAGGTTTTCACATTTCTGTTGTAAGCACAGATTATAGGAATAAGCAGTATGCATGACATTTGCCATGTATTAATCTATTTTCAATTATATTGAGTAAATAGAGTTGTTACATTTTACCTCATTGTCATGATCAGTGTTAGCATTGATAACACTGGCACAGTGCCTGGAGTGCTTCTGGTCAGGCAAGGCAAAGACAGGGAGGATGGAAAAGGAGAGGTGAGCCAAGGCAGGAAACCCCAAAGACACTGGAGCCCCCTGTGACTCACCTGCAAGCTGATCCATGAGTCCTGCCCTCAACAGGTGTTATACACTTATGGTTAGAGGAGACCAGCCTGCCCTTAGCCTAGTCTCAGAAACCAGATTCTCCCAGCACTTCCATACCAAGACACTCTGCAAGCTGGTGGGGAGATTCCAAGGGGAATAAGACCTTGATCAAGTGAGTTATTAACTGGGCGAGACAAATAAGTAGATAGTCAACTATAATGCAAGCAAAAGAGACATGAATCTGAGGGCCAAGGTTATGATGGAGTGCAGAGGAAGCGGGGCTAATCTTGATAGGGAAACTGTGAAGTCCATGAAGGAGGTGGCATTAGAGGGATGTGGAGCCTGGAAGGATGAGGTGCTGCCATTGGTGAAGAACGAAGGACAGGTAATGCTTGACTGAGTGATTATCATAAGGAGAAACAGTGGAAACCTGAACGTTCATGATGTGTTCAGAAGTGTTTTTCTTGGCATGTGTATAGGGGTGTGTTTTGCCTCTCTATCAGATTTTAAGAAAATGGTTACCACTTCTTGGAAAGAATGTTACGATAGTTAATTTATAGGCTTCAGAAAATACAAAAAGCATCTTTGCTCACCATCACTTCTGACCCTGATCTCATTCTCTTGATAACCTCTGTAGCTAATTGGTGTCAGTTCCACCAGCAGCACAGAGACTTTTATTAACAGTTAAGTAACAAATATGTAGCACATTGTACATGCTCAATAAATGAAATTAAATTTTTCTTTTTAAAAAAGAGATGCACAGTTTGGTGAATCTTTGGTGAAGGATCAGGCTTATTTATCATTTTTTTTCCTGTTATTTTCATGTTTTTTTCCCCAGGCTCTTGGTCCCTTCTAGGTATTTTCATTTTATCTGCTTTCCTTTTCCATCTTTTCAATCAATATTTCTTTTCTGAAAACTCTGTATTTGTAAAACACATTAGTTGCATTCATATTTCTGTATTTGTTACCTTAAGTAACATTCAGTGTGTATCTTTTCTTTTACTCGATAATAGATCCCATTTATTTTCAAGCTGCTGATAACCTTCATTTTTTCTGGATTTAAATCATCCCCTAGAATATGTGACTCCTCACTTTGAAACCAATTAATGTTCTTGATATGCTCTTCATTTGAGATATTTTTCTGGTTGGTATTTTTCAAAACTTCTCATTTGCTCTGATTTCTGTCAAATTGCTTTAAAATAGAAAGCAAGCAAGCAAGAAAGAAAAAAAAGCTCTTCTTGTGAACTCAGACCCATGGAGTGGTTACCTAGTAACAGCAGTTTGGGTCTAAGCTCATGCCGAACAGTAATGAGAGAGAGAGAGAGAGAGAGAGAGAGAGAGCATCAAAGCCATTTCTATAATGCAAAGGCTGGGTTCTGCTCTTGCAATGCAAGGTGAATGATAAATTCAAGGTCGGGTCTTCGAAATCTCTTCTCTGGTGAATGTAGAATGCCTTCTGCTCTGTCCTACTTTTTAGGGATCAAAGAATTTCAGGGTGCTCTGGTGCTTCTGCTTTAGTTGTGTTCTTTTTTGATTCTACCTATGTCTGAACCTTCTGTCAGATTTTCTAATTTTTAATTCTTACTACAGATGTTTTCCACCTGTTTTTCTTGGCCTGACATCTATCCAGGATTCTTGATTGTTTTTCTTTTATTTTATCAACTCCTCATCTCAACCTGGTTTATTAGAAGGCTGCCTCATTATGCCTTTTTATTCACTTAGTAGATAAGAACAAGAAGGAAAAGGGTTATATTTTGTCAGGTAGCATATGTAGAGAGAGCACTAAAAATACTTCTTAAGATCACTTTTTGATTCACATGATGAAAATAAGGTGATAGTGGACAGTATGTTAGCCACCTCAGAGATTATTTCAAGATAATTCAATTTATAAAGCTCTGAGTCATTCTTATCTTATCACTTGGTAGAGTGGATCTGTTCTTGAGAAAATAGGTTTTTAACTTTATACAAATTGAACCTAATATCTCCAGGATGGGAGAGGGTATGCTCAGGTCCTCCCAGCAATTCATTCTTCTGAATCACATGGCTCGAGTTCTTATTCCAGATCTTGATGGAAGATCCAGAGTCCTGGAAATCCCTCTCACAGCTGTGGCAGCAACAGAATATAGTAGCTGTTCTTAGAGTGGCTCCATCTTTTTTGTGTTTTTGAGACAGGGTCTCACTCTGTTGCCCAGGCTTAAGTGCAGTGGTACACTCTCGGCTCACTGCAACCTCCTCCTCTCCAGTCCAAGCAATTCTCCTGCCTCTGCCTCCTGAGTAGCTGGGACTACAGGCATGTGCCAACAGACCCAGCTAATTTTTGTATTTTTAATAGAGACTGGGTTTTGCCATGGTGGCCAGCATGGTCTCGAACTCCTGGCTTTATATGATCTGCCTTCCTGGGAGTTAATGGTTTTCTTTCTTTCTTTTTTTTTTTTTTTGGAGATGGGTTTCATCATGTTGGCCAGGATGGTCTTGATCTCTTGACCTTGTTATCCACCTGCCTCGGCCTCCCAAACTGCTGGGATTACAGACGTGAGCCACTGCGCCTGGCCTGGTTAATGGTTTTCTATAGAAATTTTAAGACCCCTGGAGAGTGGCTACCAAACTACTTCTAATAGATTTACCAATCTATTAATAAGCACCTGTGTTTTTAGCTCCTATCAGCAACTGAGAATGGTTGCAGTATTAACTTAAAATATATAGAGTGGCATCAAAGATTGTGTTTAAGTACAGTTGGTATGCTGAGTAGATGTAAACAAGTGTTTTATGCCTCAGGTGCCTAAGTAATTACTTCTTAGGGATCACTGTATGTATTACAAGCACAAAACCTACTTTTCATTTTGCTATTAAATTTCTTTAGAAAGATGGATGCGTTCTCTAACGTAAATGACTGATCTCAGTTTTATTCCATTGTCTTGTTTTTTTTTTTTTTGCAGGGTGCTCGGGGCTTAGATGGTGAACCTGGGCCTCAGGGTATTCCTGGTGCACCTGTAAGTGATTTTCCTTCCACGAAACACAATGATAGATTTTTTTTTTTTTTGCTATGTATGCATGTGTGTGCAGTATTCTTTACATGTGAATAATTAAGTGGAAAATGGACAATGTATATATGTTTAAATTTAAATTTAATTAAGACAGGCATCTTTCTTGGGTACATAGAAATGCTCTTCTGGCTTGATATGATGTTTTTTCTTCACAGGTTAAGCCAAATTGTTAAGTATTTATGTTTGCTGTGCTTTCCTTTCCTTTGGTTGTCAGGACACTTAGAGTCTTAGTAACTATCTCATTTCTACTTTGTGGCCTGGTTGATCTTTTTCATTTTCTATGGTTTCTGACTTCATTATTCCATATTTTGATTTTCATATGTCCGTATGTCATTATTGTAGGTTTCCTCAAGCTTATTTTTGAGAGGGAAATAGACCAAAAAACAAAAACAAGCAAACAAAAAAAACCATCCATGGATAATTGCCTATGCCACATAAAAAGTAGAAAAAGATATAAGAAAGATAGAATATCCAACTGTCAAAGTCCTGTGTTCCAATGGGAAAGACAGAAAGTAACTCAATGAAAAACTGTACGAAATCAAACGCTAGAGAATGGGATGGATGTAGTCCATGTAAGAGGACCTGAGGGGAGCTTGGTTTGAAAGCCTGTGGGCAGGAAAGGCAGTGAAGTGCAGGGCTGGCACTGTTAGTGGTGATGGCACATGTGGGCTCTCATAGGGGATGTCACTGCCTGGAATGGAAAGTTTGGTTGAAAAGATGAGATTGGATGGATACTGTAGAGCTACATTACGGAGAATGTTTAATGCCATCCTGAGCCATTTGAACAGATCGGGTAGCAATAGGGAGCCATTTGAGGTTTTAAGAGTTAAGCAACTTAACAAAAGTATTTTAGGAAGACACAGCCTCTTATCTATTACCACCTGTCCCATATGTCAACACTAGCTAGATAACTTTGATAGAAATCACTAGTATTGACTGGGGGATTAAATATGAGGGAAAGATTGGCAACTAATCTGAACCTCAAACCTCTGTAACCGTCAATGAAGTTAGCTGATATGTAGATGTAGTTACTGATGTCAGCATCCAATGCATGGATCCATCGTATGTTACATGCAAGAGCACAGGGGCATAAGGCATTTAAGGGGAAAAAAAAAGACAGTCACATCTTAGTTATCTCTGTGGCAATATCCATTTTTAAGACAATACTGTTTTTATAAAAATATTTCTTTATCTAGGCTTCTTTGATAGAGCAAAGCCATCGTGGTGGAAGAGCAACAGTTGGGTCACATGGATGATGCTTTCTAATGTTCAAAAGTTGATTAATAGGTAACTTTTATGTGTATTAACAACATTTTATTTTCATACAGGGTGATCAAGGACAGCGAGGACCTCCAGGGGAAGCAGGTCCCAAAGGAAATAGGGTGAGTTTAAATTCAGTCACTCCAAGCTTCCTGCTTTTCAGTGTCATCTGCTGATTATGATGATCTCTTTGACAAGTCCTAAGTATTGTGATAACTGAACATGTCTTGTCTATTGTTTCTCTCCCACCATGCAGGGGGTTCAAGGTGTTAGAGGAATTCCTGGTCTCCCTGGGCCCAAAGGAGACACGGTATGTCCTGGGCTGTAGTCATCAAGCACATTTTTCAGTGATCACTGACTCGCAATAAAACTGTAGAAAATAATGAAGGGAAAAAGAATGTGACTGTGTGTAAGAGACAGTATGTTTCTTTGTGTGTGTTTAGGGCTTGGCAGGTGTGGATGGCCGTGATGGGATCCCTGGAATGCCTGGAACAAAGGTAGGCTGTGTAATGTAGTCCAAGAGTGAGTGCGGCTGTCTCTGCCCTGGCCAGCCGAGCATGGCAGTTCCATTACTAAATCACCGAAAGATTTATTTAGCTAGCTTTGGCTTTTTCCCTTCCTTTAATTTTTGAATCAAGTGTCAAATATGAAATACTTATTAGAGTAGTATAATTATTTGCTTAGTTTCAGGAACTCAGTAAAACTGCCCTATTGATGAAAGTAGGTTGAGAGACACTGTGCATTTTGGTTAAATTATGTCCTATTTCCCATCCTACTCCCCCACCCTAAATTAAGTGACTTTATAAAAGTGCATGTAAAGTCAGCTGTTGAGACAATCCTTTTACTAGAACTCTCCTCCCTTTCTTAAAAGAAATACAGCAGCTCATACAGGTTCAATCATGTGATAAAGGCATTTTTTTCAGGGTGAACCAGGAAAACCTGGGCCTCCTGGTGATGCAGGATTGCAGGGGTTACCAGTAAGTATTTGATTCTTTACATAGCAATTGGTTTATAGATATTTTTATATATTTATATAAAAATTTATATAAAATATATAAATATAGATTTTTTATAGATATATTTTTATAGATTCTTTACATGTTAATTGGTTTAAAGATACACATTTTGGGAAGAGACATGCTACCTGATTTGATAAGTTCTGGGAAAGATATGATGTTTTACTTTTACATTTTTACAATTTATATTTATATTTTATATTTTATACTTTTTCTCTGAATAGCTATTTGTGTAATAACTGTAAATAACAGGCTTTAATTTTATGTTTTGGATTCCTTTTCTCCCTTTAGTTTGCTCAGTCTTCTTTATATATTTTTGTAACTAACCCTAAGCTGTGGGCCAGTGTCACATATTTCATTCCACTTTAAACCAGTTCTAAAGTTCTTGTTAGTAATGTTGAACAACGGGGTGCTGAGTGTATGCTCAGGTGACCACTCGGATTATGTACTATTTTTAATCATTCAAATTGATATTTACTTGCATTAATGTGTCTGGAAGTTCCTATGGATTGTATCACATGTATTCTTGGCTCTTTGGAGGCAAATATTTCTAATTAATAAAGAATACTTGGTAGTATCAAAGCCTGACCCCCAATCTTTTATGACACCTGACACTTTTAAAATAATCAGATAATATTAGCACCAATAGTACCAAATCTGAGTCAGGCCCAGCATCCTCCTGTCATTTCCTTTTTCTCCGATAACGCCCAGCATTTTTGGGAGACCCTCCTTTTATCACTCTCTACATGAAACCCTGTCACATCCCTGTAGTCTCTGTCTTGCCTATTAGAGCTCCTGTTGACCTGAAAATGGGACTGGATTCTAATTTGGGAAGTTTGTCCTTGAAAAATAAGTTTAAAGACACAATTTGCTTTAAGCGTATTTAGCTTTAACAAGCCAGTTATAGTAAAGTCATGCCCTCTAAAACTGTGGGTAGTTCTATAAATGACTGTGCAGCTTTGGGAGCTAGGAAGCATCTTCCTCACATTAAAGCTTTGAGGTTGCCATGATCCCCTCAGCCTCCCTGCAGCGTGCAGTGGGCTTGGCATCTCATGAGTTCTCAGAGGAGGTGATTAAACGCAGATTGTGTATGTATTTTTTAGGGTGTACCTGGAATTCCTGGTGCAAAAGGTGTTGCTGGTGAAAAGGTAAAATATTTAAAAATTTAAATTACTATTTTTCTTAATTTCTTTATTCTTTATTAACGTATTTTATTTGCAATTTTTAATATTTTCAGCATGTCTTTCATTTTATATTTGGCCCTAGGGAGAAGTAAAAAAGTAAAAGCTTTAAGGCTTAAAATACTAATCTTTTTCCTAGCTATAGAAAGCATACTTTGACAAAGTGCTGCTAATTAGGTTTCCTTAATGAAAATGTCATCCTTTGCCAGTATAAAACAGAGAACATTTTATTGTTCCTTACTACCTAAAATAAGGAAGATATTATTAAGCCATAGAACTTATGTCAGAGACTATTACTAGGATGATTCAGCTAAACTAAAAAGATATTAGGCATTTTCTTCACATACTGATCAACCAGTGCTTATATTTTACACAAAGCCAAAATGTAGGCAGTTAAAAACAATAGGTGGAAAAACTTTTAAGAGACAAAATATAGCTTTGCTAGACAAGACAAGGGATAAAAGGTGAATAATGTAGACACTGGTCACTATTAGAGCACAAGGCTGTGACCCCCCGATCACAGAGTTCTGCAGTGTCTTGAGCGGAGAGGTTCCCAATAAGGACCACAAGAGACTGATGGTGGAGAGGGCATCTCCAGACACGTGCATTCTTTAGAGCCTGCGAACAGGGTTTTCTCATCAGCACATCCTATTTCCCCATGTTGGTCTGATTCTTAATAATTTCAATAGTTTAATGTGCAGTATAAAGGCTCAAAGAATTATGCTGGAGGTGGAAATGGTAAAGGAAAGACATAATATTAATATTGTGAAGAAAGAAAAATCCTCTAATCGAAGAGGATCCTCTTAAATGAAGGCTAAAACCCCTCCTTGTTTGACATTTGACCTTTAATGTATTTCTTAGACTAACAGACAATATCCTGAATCTAAAGGATTTTGATGTATATAAAAAGAAAGGGATTCTGCACATTCCCAGATTCTCAATGTGAAAGCAGGGAATGAATGCTATTTAAATGTAAGAGACACCCAGTATGAGTAAGGCAGATTGATGATTATACTTACTTCAACATGAGTAACTTTGAACGTTTCATTTTACCCTTAGGGTAGCACAGGTGCTCCAGGGAAGCCTGGTCAGATGGGAAATTCAGGCAAACCGGTAAGACGCCATTTTACCTTTCCCGAAGCTCTAACCTGTTGTAATCGGTAGGTGTTAACTTCTTTTCTACCTCCCTTCCTCATAACAGGGCCAACAAGGGCCTCCAGGAGAGGTGGGACCCCGAGGACCCCGGGGACTTCCTGTAAGTATTGCTTCCATGCTGTGCTTTCCCAAAGCACCTTCTCAGGACTTTGCTGGATGTACTTCCATTCACTCATTCATTCGTTCATTCACTCATTCATGAATGCTGTGTGATAATTAAGCTCATGCTAGTCCAAGATACACAAGGAAATAGAGTGCTATTTAGATGCACAGCATGTCTTTTCAGAAAATGGAAACAAAAATAAAGTGCTTCAAAAAGCATGGTGACCCTTTCTGCTCTCATCTCATTTTTAAGGAAATGTTTCAGTGTGACTTAAAAAGACCCAACGTTGAGATACAATTCACATACTGCATAATTAACCCATCTTTACTGATTTTTAGCATATTGATGAAATTGTGAAATCATCACCCCAATCAAGTTAAGAATATTTTCATCACCTAAAAAACAAATCCTTTACCCACCTGCAGTCATCCATCATTTCCTCTTAATTCCTTCAGTTTTAGACAACCACTACACTTTCTATAGATGTGCCAGTTCTGGAAGTTTTATGTAAATAGGATCATACAATGTGAGGTCTTTGTTTTTTAAAAAATACATAATTTTTTAAGATATATGGTCTCTCTCAGGCCGGGCGGGGTGGCTCACACCTGTAATCCCAGCACTTTGGGAGGCTGAGGTGGGCAGATCATGAGGTCAAGAGATTGAGACCATCCTGG